CTCTCTCTCTCTCACACACACACACACACACACACTCTCTCTCTCTCTCTCTCACACACACACACACACACACACACACACACACACACAGCTGATAGATGTACTGTTTCATCATTTCAGGCGTCGTCTGCTCACATCTGCTTTTGTAGTTCAGAAAAAAAACAGAAACATTTCATTTTGCTGATTATTTTGGTTATTTCCTTTCTCTTCAGAGCAAAGAGTCAATTTTACAGATGACTGCTGTCCATCACGCCGGCGCTAGACAACAATCAGCGGCGCAGCGCGGGTGTCGGAGGTGTCAGGAATATCGCTCAGGATAAATTGCCGTCCAATTGGGCGCAGAATGACACGGCGTCAGGAGTGTGAGCGAGAGGTCAGTGATTCCTCCCGTCGGGCCAAAGGGAGCGACACCAACAATCAGGAGTGTGGAAAGCCAATTTCCCCGAGCGGCCCGCAACATTATCGCACTAATCCAGGGAGATGGAGCACGTCTGCGCTTCACTGGTGCATGATGGGACACTTCTGCGCTCGCGGAGGTGAAAGAGTGGGAAACCTCGCGCCATACGTGGGAATATATCACTATGAGAAAGCAAATTAAAGGGGTCATATGCAATTTCAAGTTTTCCTTTCTCTTTGGAGTGTTACAAGCTGTTCGTGAATAGATAAGATCCCTAAAGTTGCAAAGACTAAAGTCTCAAACCCAAAGAGATATTTTTTATAAAAGTTAAGAGTTCTAACACGCCCGCACATGTCTACATCACTATGTGGGAAGATTTGCATAATGCCGCCCAAATGTGCACGCAAAGGAAGGCGGCGTAACTTTTATTCTCGCTGTAGTATTGTTGTTGTGGAGACGCTGTGTGTTTCGTTGTGAAAGCGAAACTACTTTGTTTGGTCTTCAAAAGAGGACACGACTAGAAATCAGTGGTTAAGTTGTATTTACAACACTGTTCCAGAACACTTCAACCCAAATATTCAGATGTGTGCAGCACATTTTATGGAGGACTGTTTCCTGATCCTGGGAGAGTAGACTACAATGCCGGCTGTTCTGACTCACAGACTGTAAGTACAGTTTAATTTAAAGAATTTGCCACTGATGATTCAAACACGAGTTCTGGGCAGTGTAGAGTAGCACTTGCAGTTTGTAATTTCTCCGATCACAAATGCAGACATGGTTTTATGTTTACGCAGCGCGATACGCAACGCGTAAAAAGACAGTATAAGTCATTATAATCCGTAATTATGTCTCCACTGGATGCAACAAATGCCTGGTTTATAATGGCTTTTAATGTGTTTGTCTCGTCGCTCCGGCGGACAGGGCATCATCACAGTATGGTGAGGGGCGCAACATTTCCGTCACACGCTTGAGGTATTCGGCCAATCACAACGCACTGGATAGCTGGCCAATCACAGCACACCTCGCTTTTCAGACCGATGAGCTTTGTAAAAATCGAGGCGTTTCAGAAAGGCGGAGGAGAAACAATAATGTACAGTATGTGGAAAATAATGTGTTTTTTAACCTTAAAATGCATAAACATTTCATTACACCAAATACACAAAATAATGTTCTTGTTAGCAACATCATATGACCCCTTTAATATGTACGTAGATTAAGGCACTGAAGCGCCGTCGCTGGATTTGAGAGTCGAGATCTGCCAGTGAATCCCGGAAACCTTCAAACCGGGACTCTGGTGGCTAAAAATAGAGATGAAAGCATTAAAAATATATCCTGATCAATTATTAACCATGCCTGAATATATAGGCGACAATTTGAATATGAAAAAGAGCTGGTCAGTTTTATCGCACCGGGATTCTGTCACGTCACACTTCGCTGTGCATCTGCTGAAACACACTGGAACCAAATGTTTCTCACGGATCTCGAGAACACTTCTAAAATTCTATGACGAAATAAAACAATGTTTCAGTGACTTTTCTGTCTGAACTGACTGTGGATGGAAGATCAAGCCTGGACACAAAAACATTAAACACGTCTTTTTATCATGTTTTCATCGCACGCAAAAGCGCGCCGTGAGCAGCGCAGTCTGATTCACAAATGACCCTTCAGAATGAATCAGTCAAACTCATGAGTCTGAATCAGCTTAGTGAATCATCCAGAGTGATTCTCGACTCAAAGAATCTCAGTCACGTCCATCACCAAATGATTAGATTAAGTGTTATTATTTTTAACAAAAACTAAAGCCATATAAAAAAAAATTGTAACTCGAGATAAAATAAGTATTAGCTGAAATAAAGTATAAAAATTTTTAACTTTTCTTTCAACTAGTTAGCAAAGCATTTTTATTTAGTTTAACTTGATATGCTAAAAAAAACTTTAAAAAACTGAAATATAGATATTAGGCTAGACGGTGCTGACGGTGATACCGTTATTAAGCCGCAACACCGGTTACCTCAATAGCCTACCGCGGCACCGACCCCCACCGTCATTTAGATTTTTTTATAGTAACCCGCCCCCACGGTAATACCGGTATTTCCGGTGTTGTCACACGTCGATTAACCGGTGGGAAAAATAAAACAATAAAAATGTAACTTAAGACAATTTACATTTACTCAAGAAGCAAAACTGTGAAAGATATTATAGCTTTCAGAGAATATACTACATTTATTTTGCTTTACACTAGTTTGAATAGCTTTATTTTCACGTTTTCAGCATAAACTTCACAACATTTGGTTTATACAGTATGCATATTTATATGTTTATATGCTATAATAAGAGATATGACAATGTTCAACAGATTTAGTTAACAAATAGACATTAGTGACCCTGCAGACACACAAAAGCAGTGTTAAGTCGCTGGGGGATATTTGTAGCAATAGCCAACAATACATTGTATGGGTCAAAATTATACATTTTTCTTTTATGCCAAAAATCATAAGAATATTAAGTAAAGATCATGTTCCATGAAGATAGTTAGTAAATTTCCTACCGTAAATATATCAAAACTTAATGTTTGATTAGTAATATGCATTGCTAAGAACTTCATTTGGACAACTTTAAAGATGATTTTCTCAATATTTAGATTTTTTTGCACCCTCAGATTCCAGATTTTCAAATAGTTGTATCTCAGCCAAATATTGTCCTATCCTAACAAACCATACATCAATGGAAAGATTATTTATTCAGCTTTCAGATGATGTATACATCTCAATTTCGTACAATTGACGCTTGTGGTCCAGGGTCACATATATGCATTTGGCAGACACTTTTGCTCAAAGCAACTTAAGCTGCATTCGAGATTTAAACAAACAAGGTTTAAATATGCTTAAAATTAGTTATTTACTTCAGTAGAAAAATGTGAGAGATAATACTGCTTGTTTTAAGAGAATCTGGTAAACTACATTTATTGTCACTCCACTGCTTTTTGCCAGTTTTAAAAATATTGTTTTGAAAATAGCATTTTTTCCCATTTGAAGCAAAAACTCACAACATTTTGCTTGATCATGCTTATTTTTTTTTTGTGTGGAAAACACAGATTAAGAAACTGTTTTTTGCTGTGCAACAACACTTGAACAATCAGTATAAAACACTTCAGACTTCGGACGAACATCTGAAAAACCAAAGCCGCTCAGGAACCCGTTTCTACAGAACTGAAGCAGCTACTAATTAATGGCCTAATTAAATCAGGTTAACTCAGATTACCGACAAACACAAAAGATGCATTTGTTTCGTATTCAGAAGCGCGTTCAGCTCATTCCCACAAGAGCATGAAAGCACGTGAACACAGTTATAATGAGAGACACGCGCCTGATGAACCACACAAACACCTTAAAATACTACGGTATCAGACGGCAGTACCTCGGTACTCTTCAGTCAGAATTATTAGCAGGTTAGTTTAATAAAAACATGCCATCAAGTGTCAAAACAGCAACTCTGAGGTGAACGTCTGTCTGATTAACAGCTTGCAAAAGAAACAATAATGCCCAGGTTTATTCTGTATTACACTGTAAAAAATTACCGTGAATTTAACTACAGTAAAACTGCTACAGTAAAAACCTGTTAAATGGTTAACGGTAAATTCCCCTACTATATACGGTGAAAAACTGTATTGAACATTACATGTAATTTTATGGTAGTATACCATTTCTGGAAGTCAAAAAGACCGTATAATTTACAGTGAATTACCGTAAATTGACATTCCCAGAATTCCCTGCGTTACATTTCAAATGTGATGTTTTTTTGTTGAAATAACTGTTTCTTCTTAGTTTTTTCTAATCAGTTGTGTATGTTAGGGTTGTGTGTTACACCTAATGTTGTTAAATGAATGTTTATTGCATTATTTCAGTTTAATGTGTGTTACCGTGATAGTGTTTAGTGTTTGCACACCTTCTATACATGTTATTATTTAAAAGCTGCTTGTGATGGGCTTTGGTTCATCGTGTGGCTTTCTCATCACCTCCTGCATTGGGTGGTTATCAGTGTGTTACGAAGCTACAAAACAGCTTTCAGTACTTCAATAGATTGGTATATTAACATTATATCAGTTTTTATTTCATTCAGAAATTACAGTATTTAACCGTACATTTAAGTTAAAACCGTAAAACCTAAAATGTTGCCACCATATTTTTTACGGTAAAATTCCGGCAACCACAGCTGCCGGTTTTTTACAGATTTTTTTTTTTTACAGTGTATGAGCTGATTGTAAGAGTCAGTGTTATTGGGTTCGTTAGGAAATATTGCACTGAAACACATCTGATCTCTGTAGCAGGTAGGGATGGGCGATATCTTATCGTTTGCGATATACCGGTAAAAATGATCCCCACGATAAGAATTCGTCTTCCCGCGCTAATAACGATAAAGTCTAGTTGTTGACATATTTCTGTGGGAGACAGTGAGGAGCGACATCACGGAAAGCGGACGTGAAATTGAGGAGGAGTAGCCTGTATCGCTAAATGAGGAGCTCGAGCGGTAACTGCTTTGGTCAGGGCTGTACAGTGCACAAAAAAATCAATCTGAATAAATGTACTACAGTAGCACGTGTGCGATACAGTTTTGCATGTGTATGAGCCCGTTTACAAAACTGTTGTCCAACAAAGATATCATTTATTGACATGCTTTTCCTCCAAATTAACTTAATGACATAGTCGAGTGTTTGAAATACTTCTTTTTGTGACCAGACGTGGTTTCATATCACAGAATGATAGCATTATATACAGCGATGAAGGCCATGTCGATTAACATTGCATTATAAATATACTTTCCTTATAAAAATTACATTGTTTAGAGCATTAAAAAAGAAGGAGATATTTCATTCATAAGTTATGCTACGTGCTTGGTAGAGGACATCGGGACTCCATTTCTTAAAAAAATAAGACATGAATGAACATGCACAGGCAAAAACAATAGATTTTTTTTTTTAAATCACCAATACATTTTTAGTTTTAAGGATTTTTTTTTTTTTACCAAACTTTGTATAAAGATAATTCTCAACTATGTTTGATTTGATATACCATTTTTCTTCATGCAAAATGTGTGTAAAATGGCCACAAACGGGTTTTCTCATTATATACAATGTATCTATAAACTAAATCTAATTTGCATATTAATGTGTTTTTGGGGGCAACATGTAATGAAAAAAAGAAGTGTAATATTGAGAGTAATAATTGACAAGATTTTCATAATAATATATCATATTTCATAGGAATATTGAAATATATTTTCTTTCCCTATTCATGTGTTGTGTCTCCCAAAATGCGTAATAAACGTGCTTTTAGTCCCGGTGTCCTCATACGAGGACATGCATGAAATCAACCTCCTGTTTCGTAACAGAAAGTCATATTTTGATTTGAAACCCCATAACATGTTGATTTATGACACACAGTTTAAAAATGTGTCCGATTTAAATGACAATTACAAAATATTATCATATTTCCATAAGAGTGTCACTAAATTAATATCAGACATTTTTGAAGACCAAGGAGAGGAGGTGGTGACGGTGAAACATCCAAACATTTAGTATCTCTGAAAAGCCCTGAATGTGCTCCGTACAGGACTCCAGACTGTGGCATGTATAGTCTCAGAGAAATACACTACAATATAATGTCCTCATATGAGGATGCAGAAGTAAAACATTGAAACTGAATTGAAGAAAAAAAAAAGTTTGAATTGTGAGGGTTTACATAGTCTTCAGAGGTAAAGCCTGAAAGTGTGTAAATAAAGCATTGCATGCAAATGTGTTCGAGTGCATGTGAGTGGAATCATGCTGAAACACATCACGAGTGGTTGCATCATCTAACCAGTATGCTCAGACTAGTTAACACAGATCTGCTGTTTACATCCTAACCAAGCACTGCCTGACATCTCAAGAGTTCAGTAACTTATATGCATACATTCAAAACTGACAAGATGGTCATGCAACTGAAAAGTTGCAGATTGTGAACTTCTGCTGGACTACTAAATCACGTCAGAGACACTTTTAAATGTCAATGCATTTTTTTTTTAAATCATAAAAGCATGATTTAGAGACTACAATCTCACGCCAGGTCTATCAGCCCCTCAGCGCGACTCGACAACACGCTCATTCCCGCAGCATCTGCATCGACACGCAACGCTTCGAATGCGTGCTCTGTTGTGCATGCACGCTGATGCATCGCTGTACTGGTGCGATTCATTCGCTTTCGCGTTACCGTGAGCTATAATGCGGTAGTGTGTGTTTAAACTCACCCTGATCAGCTGTCTCAGTGTCAGTGTTAACATCGTGAAGCGACTCAACTTCTCCGGTTCCAGCAGATTTTTGCGTTCGCACGCTTTTCGCTCGTCGCCTAATGACAGCTGCGGATTGACGGTGAGCGCGAGCGCTCATGGGAAATGTAGTCCCGTCAGAGACGCAGTCGCTGGCCTACAAACTGACGTCATGACTTACGCACAACATGGGAACTGAAGTGATGTTTACATCTGATTTTATCTGCCATTTAATGCTATTTAGAGTTGATTGCATTATTTTAGGATTTATTTTATTTTATTTTCCTGGTGTTTCGTGCGGCGGACACACCGAAGCAGCTATATATATATTTTTTTTTGTTTTCGTTTTTATTTTATTTTTATTTTCAGTTTGGGTTTAATTTTAGTAAGTTTGTGTTTTTGTCACTTTTAGAGTTTTTAAAAAAATATGTCTATATAGTTTTTATTAATTTTATATACATTTGAGTTATTTTAGTACATCAAGTTAAACTAAATTTAAAAAATGAGAAATTTTGCCTTGTTAACTAGCTGAAAAAAATGAAAAAAGCAAGTTGCAATATACATATGTCTGTACAGTATATATATTAATTATGCAATATTTGCTGCTGACGCTGACTGAACAATTAAGAGAGGATTCTACAGTAAACTGAAGAAACTAAAGTTGCCAATTTGGGAATGTTGTAAATAAAACTGCTTTTCAGGAAAATACAATTTCAGTTTTTGTACTTCAAAATTGCACATTTAAGTAGCTAAAAATAATCTGAAAATAATCTGAATTTGAAAGTAAATCCTAAATTATTGTTTCCAGTGTAATTGCATTTATTTACACACTGTATGCATTCATAGTAATATCATTCTACACAAGTACGATATGTTTAACATTATAAGGAGAGATCCTAATGATCCTAACAAACACTATTCATCTTTAGTTTTACTACTGGAATTATTTTATACCAAAATAATCTAACCGGAAGAATCAGCATTGATTACAATATAATACACAGCACAAAAACACATCCAATAATTAACAATCAGCAATTACACTGTCAAAAATGTCCACATATTCCACATATTAAACGCATGGCTTGAATTTCTTTAATATTAAACTGACTCAAGTTGAAGCTCGTGTAACTTAAAAAAATAAATACATTTGATGAGATATGACGTAACGGAAAATCCTAAGAGTTATTGATCATATCATATTTAGAAGTGCTGGTAAATCAGGCATGTTTTGCTTGTTTAACTCCAGTGATCAAGAGCACAAACTCATCATGTAAACAAAATGCACTTTTTATGCACAACAATTTATGGATTTACATAAGAAGTACAGTGTCAGTATCGTGTAAGAAGTGAATGTAAGGAGCTTCGTTGCAGTCTTCAGTCTTCTTTCTTAAAGCAGCATCGTCAATCATTGGATAATAACAGCGGGTCAGGCAGGTTAGATTTAATTATTTATTTGTGATACATTATTTACACACACTTTGCCCCCCATGTATACTCTACACATCATCAAGCAATGCTTTATTCACAGAACTATCTGTATATCTCTGATTCACCGAGTGATCGGTGTCCAAAAATAAAGAAAGATGCACCCATATATCTGTCTTTGTGTCTCTTCGAGCTTTATTTCAGAGTAAATAGATAAGCTATGTCTTTGATTTCATCATATATATATATAAAGGTGCTTCATACGGGGGTGAATAACATTCTGTTAAATGGATCTGTTTATTATTCTCTCTCAGAGTTCCTGTAGGTCTTTGCTCAATGTTTTGACCATTAAACCTGGTTTTCCGTCTAAAATGACTGACATGAAAGCTTTGCAGCTTCTGCTGATTATGAATGTACACTCTTTAAAATAAAGGATCTTGATTTGCATTGATGGCTCCATGAAGAACCTTTAACATCCACGGAAGCACTACAGCTTCTTTACAGCGTAAAACGCTTCTTTAGATCATTAACATGTTCTGCACAGCCAGAATTTAAGATTTGTTCACTGAAAGCTTCTTTGAGGAACCAAAAATGGTTTCTGGCATTGCTTGAAAAAAAAAAACCTTTGGAACCTTTATTTTTAAGAGTGTAGTTTAAGGGGAAAACTCAAACTTAAAGGTTTTGCTTCATTCAAAATTTCTCAAATTTATCCTCCGTTTTTGTTCATCATCATATCTTGAAATCAAAACAAATTCATGTTCCTGGTTGATTCATCGTTGCACGTCCTTGTATAGTAAAGAAAATAATGACATCAAAAATCAATAGAGTAACTTACAAGAGCTTTGAACGTGGCTCAGCCAATCAGAATCAAGGACCGGAACTCTCCGTTTTATAAATAGACTCTATATCATCCAAAGCTAGCGGAGTCCGATGGCATGGTAACTACCAGTCGAGTTTGTGAAACCCTGACCGCTAACAGGTTTGTCATAAGCTATCAGTGTAGCTATCTGAAGACACCTCGAGCTGGTTTTCGTCTCAGCTTCAGAACCATCAGATCCATTCTGAAAGACATAAGCAGGATCAGTAGAAAAAACAACACGTTCCAAGTTGGTCTAACAGTCGACGGACGAAAACGGACAAAGCAATCAATATTAAGAGCTGAACGGATTAGGGTGGGTTCTTTCTATATACAAAAAACCGTCAGCACATTGTCATCCGCTTCATCCCAAATACGGATATTCGCTCTGAAAGTTGTAGTCCGGACAGACCTTCTGCACTAGCTTGTAGTCGATGCTGAAGAAGGAGATGAAGATGCAGATGACTTTGAAGGGTTTGGCGCAGAGCCAGGATGAGTGCGACTGGGTGTTTTCAGTGAAGCAGGTCTGGGATGGATCGTAAAGGCAGGGTTTGGGCTTCTTGGAGCGATCCGTCTTCTCGTACTCGACGCGACAGTTGAAGGTTTTGACGTCTTTGGGGTCGATGGTGGATTGGTGCGGCTGGTGGAACTGGATCTCAGAGTGAAGAGGGTTCTGGAGAACCTCGAACTCAACGATTTTGGACGGAGGAACGATGCTCACCGAAACGTTCCCGAGACTGGAGGAGTTGTGCCGGAAGTAGACTGTAAACGTCCCGTTGATGTGGTCCACGATCTTCCCCGTCACCAGAAGGGTGAACTTGAGCGTCTTGACGTTAAAGTAGAAGTCGCCCCAGCCGAAGATCTTTTTAGTCTTCATGGAGGTTTTGAGGGAGGGCTTGCGTTTGGGACGGTAGCCCGTTTGGTCCAGGAGCTGCGACTGGTTTCGCACCCATTCGTAGGGGTTCTGGAAGCTGAAGGTGGGTGGTTTGGGCTTCGAGGGCGTGTGGTCCAGCGTGGAGAATATCCTGGAGGTCTGCTGTGGAGGTTTGACGCCTCCTGACGGAGCGGGAACGCCGTATGGGAGGCTCTTGAAGACTGTGCCGGATGGTCCCTGCTCCAGGTAATCCAGAGATTTGCCCACCTGTTTCTCCAAGCCATGCACCTGCGGACACACACGCACATATACACACGCACACACACACACACACACACACACACACACAGACACATACACAGACACAGAAACAGACACAGACATAGAGACACACACACAGACACAGACACACAGACAGACAGAGACAGAGACACACACGCACACACACACACACACACACACACACACAGACACATACACAGACACAGAAACAGACACAGACATAGAGACACACACACAGACACAGACACACAGACAGACAGAGACAGAGACACACAGACACAGACACACAGACACAGAGAGACACACACACACACAGACACAGACACACAGACACACAGACAGACAGAGACAGAGACAGAGACACACACAGACACAGACACAGACACACAGACAGACAGACAGACAGAGACACAGACACAGACACAGACACAGACACAGACACACACACACACACACACACACACAGACAGACAGACAGACACACACACACACACAGACAGACACAGACAGAGAGACACACTCACAGACACATACACACTCACAGACAGACACACTCACAGACAGACACACTCACAGACAGACA